TTTCCCATATTATAATTAATAACTTTTTATTGATTTGGCTTATCGATTTCGGCTCGATTTTGAACAACCCTACGTAATATATATAGTTTTCTATATATATATATATATATATATATACATATATAATGATGTCAATCAATAATAGGGGAGTCACAATCCCACCAATCAACTTGCCCCAAACTGCTGCTTCAAAAACCACTACTTGCAACTTGCAATTCCTGTGGACCCCAACAGCACCTCAACCATACCTAAGTTCCAGAACTTTCTTCTAAAGAACCTTCTCCTCATCCTTCCATTTTCGAAACTACTTAATATTAAAAAAATAAAATAGGATTATATACATTATTCCTTCAGTTTCGTGACATATTTTTTTTTAGTTTGTTTTAAAAGGTATAAATACATTATCTCAGATATCTAACGATACTAAACCAATATACTCTATTTATCTTAGATTTAGGACAGAGATAAAATGTAATTTTTTTATTTAATTTTTCATGATTAGTCGAATTATATATATATAAATTGAAAAGGAGGAAATAAAAAATAAAGAATTGCATAGGAAGAAGATGCTCACACCCCAAATGTCTAGAAGTCTAGAACCTTCCACTTAAACAATATTTTATTAGTACTATAATTTTTTTTTATTATTTCTTAGCAACTCAATAGGTGGAATTTCTGATTCTTCTTTTCTATTAATAGCGTTTTATCACTTACTTCCAAAGCTTCTTTTATCCATGGTGTCCATAACAATTTATTCACCAACTGCTTAACTGCATAAACTACCTTCCCAAAAGAGAAACTTTCCATCTCCAAAATCCAAAATCCAAAATTCAATTTAATTTTTTGTTCGTAAAAATACATATATTTTCCCCTGTTTGTTTGATGATGAATCAATTGTATTCTGTTAAAGAAGAGTTTCCAGGTTCAAGTTCTGGTGGTGGCGGTGGGGGTGAACCCCCACCGGCGACACCACAACCAATGGAAGGGCTTCATGACATTGGTCCACCACCATTCCTTACAAAGACATATGAAATGGTGGATGATTCAAGTACAGATCATATTGTTTCATGGAACAGAGGAGGTCAAAGCTTCGTCGTCTGGGATCCTCATTCCTTTTCGACTACACTACTTCCTAAATTCTTCAAACACAACAATTTCTCCAGCTTTGTTAGACAGCTTAATACTTATGTAAGTCAAAAATCTGTTAACTCCTCCAATACATTTTCTTTTTTCAAGTGGGAAATTCGTTTTTATTATATATATATATATATATATATTTGTTGGCTCCTGATTGCTATTAGTAGGACGGAGAAAAAAAAATCCCACTTGGAGTGTTAATGTGATGATATAAATATAACTTTTTCAGAATTGTGTTTTTTTTTTATTAATTTCAGACGAATTAAGATCTGGTGATATTCCTCTGATGATTTTTCAAGTTCTGCTGGTTGGTATAGCATATTAAAATATTCATCGTGATGCGGACCAAAAAAAATTGCATTAGTCGAGAATTGTTTGCTAAGATGGGTATGGGATTTGATTGTTGCAGGGATTTAGAAAGATTGATCCAGAGAGATGGGAATTCGCAAACGAGGCATTTCTAAAGGGGAGTAAGCATCTTCTAAGGAACATCAAGAGGCGAAAAACGCCTAATTCTTCTCAGCCTTTGCCTTCTACAGAGCAAGGTCTCGGGCCTTGTGTCGAGTTAGGAAGATTTGGATTTGATGGAGAAGTTGATCGATTGAGGCGTGACAAGCAAGTTTTGATGACGGAACTAGTGAAGCTTAGACAGAATCAACAGAATACTCGAGCTTATCTTCGATCTTTGGAGGTAAGGTTACAAGGAACAGAGAGGAAGCAGCAACAAATGATGAACTTTTTAGCAAGAGCAATGCAAAATCCCGAGTTTGTCCAGCAGTTAATCCAGCAAAAAGGGAAGAGGAGAGAAATTGAAGAGGATATAACCAAAAAAAGGCGACGACCTATTGATCCTCAAGGTCCTAGTGCTACATTACATGTTGGAGGATCTAGTCATTCAATAAAATCAGAACCCTTGGAATTCGGAGAGGCTAACGAATTCCAAGTCTCTGAACTTGAAGCACTCGCATTAGAAATGCAGGGATATGGTAGAGCAAGAAAGGATCAACAAGAAGAGTACACGATAGAAGGGCTCGAGCAATTTGGGAACACGGATAAAGAACTTGATGTGGGGTTTTGGGAAGAGCTATTTAACGATGAGGACGTGTCTGGAAATGAAGACGGCGAAGAGGAAGATGTAGATGTCTTGGCAGAGAGGTTAGGGTTCTTGGATTCGAGCCCTTAGTAAAAGCCTCAAACTAGTTTTGTCTCATGTGCTTTTATTCAAGAACTCATGATTCATGAGCTGGATCGTTACATCGAAATCTTGTATGAACCTACATTGTGTTATTTACTACTACTACTGCTAGTTAACTTATGTGTCTTGATTCTGTGTAGTGAGTTTTCAAGTATTCAACGACGAATGAAGAAAGCAGCTATATGGATCGACCAGCTACTCGTTGGTAGTTTATTTCTTTCGGAACAAATATTCTAGTCTCTCTTTCTGTGTAACTTTAGGCCTTTCTTGTAAACTTTATTTTAATTTTATTGACAGGATAGATTCATGAAGGACTCAAGAGTCAAGTCTGAAAATCCCTTGTTGGTTTTTCTGGTTACTATTTATATTTTCAGTCATTGGTTTCCTTTGTTACATCTCTGCCTCTTATTCTTGTTTTTCTCTATGGATCCAAATGCAGGCATAGGATTATGCAGATCCTGATCAAGTTTATGGTCTTCGAAGATTATCGTAAATTCTCATTTTGGGTAATAAAAAGATGTCAACTAATACGTGTTAGATTCTTCAAAAGTAATGTATTTTAGAGAATCTGACAAAGATGCGACATCAAAAATGATAACATTGCTTTGCTTGTGTGTGGTTCTTAGAGTGTTGTCTTTATGATGAAGACATAGGTTTTACAAGTAGAACCAATTACACCAGAATCAAGGTTTTATCACAAGTGGCGATTTGTAACTACTTTGCTGACAAAGCTTTAATTTATTTGCCATTTAGTGTCCTTGTCTCTATTTGTGAGAAATGATTCATGTCCAATGGTTCATGTTCCATATTTTAAAAAAAATCTCCTTTTTTGTTGGCTCTAGAAATGAAAAAAACTAGAAATGGAGAGGAAACATTTAGTTATATTCGAGTCCATTAAATTTATAGTGTATTTTTATGAAACTCGATCCTTTGCTAGTAATTGAGGTATAAGATTATTTTCTCTCAAGATAAATTGCACTAGTGTAGCGGTACTTCAAACTCTAGCGTACAACAAAAACTCAAAGAAGAACTAAATCACACCAAGAAATTACTTGCGATGTATGAAAATTGCAGAAAGAAGGGGAGCATATCCGAATTTTCGTAAGTAAAAATCTAAAGAAGCGAATATGTATTTATAACCAATAAAAAGTAGTGTAAATATATACTCTAGTGCCTTTTATGAAAAATTACAACCTATTCAATGTGAAAATATGTTATTCAAATTGCACCTTTCTCCTAATGCTTTCTCAAAAATATCTATTCATTTTTCATTCACATCTTTTAAAAAATCTAACAAAATAACTTTTTCAAATCTCTCGTACCTAAAAACGAAGACATCTTGTAAAATAAACATAAAACTAAAATATATATCGTAAGTATTCCCCTTTATATCAGCTATATACTTCTTCGATCTACAATTGTTTGTCATGGTTTCTATTTTTAGAGTCAAACTATAAGAACTTTGACTAACATTTAAAGATGTATTTTTTCCTCATATTGATATGCAAAAATTTGCAATTTATAGTACTTTTAATATAGTTTTTAATTCTCACTGCACCAAAAATATTTTTAGCGATAATTAATCAGTAGTAATAGTTTAATGATTGCTAAATATTATACTCTTTTGGTGAGAATATCATTAATTAAGAAAATGTATTTTCTCTAATAGCATAAACTTTTAGATGAGATCGTCACACACTTCAACGTGATACAGAACATACAGAGGTCCTAGGATCAAATCTCACCACCATCCAAATTAAAAACTATTCCCACCCTTAAAAAGAGCCAGACCCACACATGAGAGCAAGATGTTGAGAATTTAAAAGAGATGATGACACACTTAAACATCTATTAGGTCTAACACTTTTTGCAAATGTTCCTAAATTTTATAACGACGTTGAATCTTATGACAATTAACTAATGCCGATAAAATATTTTAGCAATGTTTTTGTTATATATGGTGTCTCCACATAGCTGAATGAGACAGCTAAAGCATAGGTAAATTTAGGTTTTTTGGAATCTAATGGCTTTGATTGTCTCATACTTGACGACGTGTGTTGCCTCTTGATTGTGATTTTTTATGGAAAGATCACATTTCATCAATAATTAATCTTCCCCACATAGGAAACAAGACAAGATGTTGTGGGGTACAAGTAGGTTAGAATTTTGTGTTAGCTTGGCAGTGTGAGTGTACAAGAGATCATTGATTGTCCTAGCTAATGAAGAAATCATAAATGCTATGATCCATATTATTCATGTAGAGGACCTAGCTAGGGCAGCTAATTCATGACATACCTCTAACTTGCAATATATATAGAATGCCTTCAAATACAAACGTGTGATTTTATTGCTACAATCCAGGGAGTTGGACTATGCTTAATTCTCATTTATGATGTTTGTGTTGTGTGAAATCTAGTTAGGTAACAAGTGTCGCAAAGGGTTATTTAGGGAGCTCGAATATGGACTGGTAAAAAAGGACATGGTACCAAAAGCAATAGACTCGTAGATGCTATTATTGCAATGATTAATCTAATTTTTTTTCTCTAGGCGAACCTTTTTTTTATAGATATATATAGGCGGAATGAACTGGTATATCCTCGTACTGGCTCCGTTTGTAAATTGGACCATTGTACTTCTGATTTTGCCAACTGAATCCTTAAACTCATTCAAACACAATATTTCAAACCCCTTTCTCATCATTTGTGTATGCGTGTATTACACTCAATTTACACATGAAATTCCACGTCATTTTTAATGACACATCAATATTACTATTATTTTTTAATGACAAATCAGAAATTAAATATTTAATAATAAATAATATTTTTTAAAAAGGTGCAAAATTCTCTCTCTATATATTAATTTTTCATATTTCCACTTCATCTTCTTCCTCCCCACCATATACCATTCACCACAAAAAATAAAAATTATCATTTTTCGTCTTTCTTACGCTCAAAATTTTTCTTATCGACAAAATCTGAAAGATTATAGTTAGCTCTTACACATACTTTCAGTTTTATTATTTAGATTTAGTAAAAAGTCTATCAAGAAACTTCAAAGTGAAAAAATATATATGTTTACAAGTAAATTCAAGAAATAGATCTTGAAATATTAAGTTTTAAAAAGATGAATGAGATGTATTTTAACAAAAAAAAATTATTATGATTATGTTAATAGTGTATATGTCAAAAAAAGAAAGAAAAGAAAATGGATAGGAGCAGGGGGGGGGGGGGAATCTAGGGCTGAAAAGAAGAGGAAAAGGTGGGACTGGGCTGAAGAAGAATATGAAGAGAGAAAGGGTTGTGTCGGCGATGGGTTGAATTGGTTGAAGAAAGAGCTTTTGATTATTTTTTGAATAAGCGGTGTAGGGAAGAAGATAGATTCTTTTATTTTTTTATTTTTTAAATATATAATTTTAATAATTTAAAACTTAAAATTTAAAGTTTAAAAAATGATGCTCACTCGCCTTAAATGCGTGTGGTCACACTCTCTCGCCAAGTCAACTATTTTAATGTCACATAAGCATGGTTTATGGTTAGAGAGATTTAATATATTGTGTTTTATTTAGTTTAGGAGTTCAGATGTCAAAAAGGTAAGTAGAAGGGTTCAAAATATAAACTGATACAAGTATAAGGGTCCACCAGACTATTCTGCCATATATATATATATTTTGAACCCCGTCAATGAAAAATTGAAATAGATGACTCATTGGCCAGACCCTTGAAATTAAGCTACATTTCCATAGTTCGGATCCCTATGACAACATTTTGGTTTTTTTCCTTTTTAATTTCACTTTTTTTTTAAAAAAAAACAATTATGTTTTTCAAGCTTTTTTTAGCTTTATTTTTTATTTAAAAAACATGCTAAAAGTGTGGTTTTAAACCCAAAAAAGTTCAAGAGTTCTATTTCTAAAGACTTATTTACATGTTTATACTTTATTTTTTGAACCTCCTAAACGAAATTCTTGGATCCGCCACTGGTATCGAAGTCTTTTATTTTAAGTAGTTCAATGGAATTCTCCTCTATTGCAGCAAGAGTTAACAAAAAAATAGAAAAGTATTCGCAATGCACCCTACTTGTCGAAAATAAAAATCCTTAGTAATCGAAGTATGAGACTTTTATATATCGATTGATGAATATAATTTTTCAATCAAGATACATAACCCTTTTATTATCCTTAATCTTAATTAATCAAGATCGCAAATTTAAATTCTGAAAATGAAATGGCTTTTATATTCATTCATTATATTCATATAAAAATTGATGGACAAGGAGCAAGTACTTATATATCAATGTATTTATTTGTGTTTGGTTCGTTATAGGGAACATGAAGGAGAGAGAATATTGTATTTATTTCCTTATATTGTGGAGTGCCCTTATTCATTCAATTCAATTGATTGGCATGGTCAAGGATGTACTTCCTTTAGGTCCACTTTGGAATATTGAAAAAGTTAAACCACAACAACTCATCGTCTCTTTTTTTTTTTGGTTTATTGTCTATTTTACTTTCTTATTCCTATCATTCTTTTTTACTAGTTTGGTATAATATATTGTTGTAAAAAATGATATAAGGCAGGAGAATCTTCTAAGTTTTGGTGAAATTTTATTAATTGAAAAATATTATAAGGTATGAGAATCTAATTTTTCGTGCTTTTAAACTATGTGAGTATTCTATTACCTTTAAACTTAATTGTTAAGATTGTATTAATTTTTTGTTTAATCTATTGTGTTTATTAAGATAATTCCTTTGCACAATTAAGTGCACTTTTATTTTTATTTTTTTTAAAAAAAATTGACGTTTAGTCACTCATTTTTAATATTTATAAAATTATTCTTTATAATTTGGACTAGTTTCCTTCATGAAGTTATTATACTTGTAATATATATATATATATATATATATATATAATTTCAAGTTCCTCCTGTTCATGCCATTGAATCAAAACTACACCAAAATAACAGAAATACAAAAGTTCATTAAATTTGGAGCAAAATAATTCAAGAACTAAATAATATGAAAAAAATGAAATTCAGGGTTAATAAGATGCTCATACAATTTTCGTGTGTAGCTGATAATTTGGAGCAAAATAATTTGAGAATTTTTATTTTTTTAAAATTCTACGCACTATACCTAACCCTCCGCTTTTAATATTTTTCTCGTTTTGCATTAGATATATTATATACATATAGCAAACATGTTTTATTTATCGCCACAAGATTTTTTTAAAATAAAATTTTGTTTATGTTATATTCGGTGCACGAAAAAGAAATCTAAAAATATATGTGCATATCTAATACAAATGAGAAAAATGTAAAAATAAATAAATTAAAAGTTGTGGGTTAAATAGGATGGGGTATAATTTTTATTTTTAAAAAAATCAAAATTATATATATATGGGGTTGGTAGTGGAGTGGGGTAAGAGCAATAATTTTTTTTGGAGATAGTAATACTTTAATCTTTAATTAATATTAATATTTTATTATTTAATTTTTGTCAAAGTAAAATATTGTATTCATGTGAAATGTCATGTGTCAAGTTTCTTTTCAAATAAATGAGAGAGTACATTACACACACTATTAAGGTGTGTTCCTCAAACTAATAAGTGATAATTAGATATAAATGTCCATTCTGAATAATTTAGGTATGAAATAAAAAAAAAGATAATTAGATGTATGAAATTAGGTCTTACGCCCCATCTCATTAACCACCGATATAGGACTTTTGTCATTTTTTAACACTCCATCTCACGTCTAGTGCTTAATATTTGGTGCATGGACAATTTTGATTTTGGGGACCCCAACATCGGGTGAGACAGACCT